GTATTAAGAAGAATATCAAGTAATCTTAAGTAACATTTATAACTTTTGCATGTGGAATAAATAATAATCACATTGATTTTTATGTTATTTGTTTATTTGTATGGCTTTACTGATATAATATTTGAATAAATAATATAATTTGATATTTTATTTGATCAATGTTACAAAGAAAAAACAAACTACGAGCCAAAAAATAGAATAAACTGTACGAATTTTAATATTTACAATCAACTGCAATTAGAATAGGTTTTGGCTGGCAAAAAGAATAATTCATATGTATTGAAAAATTATTTTAAAATCTCAATTGCTTCCGCACGATTTTAAGTAAATTGTTTGGATTAGTTTTAAAATCATTTTCTAAAAAAAATCAGTATTTCTGTTGAGTACTTTTTAAATTACCAATTCATCCCCTCTCAGTGCACCTCGGGCTAGTTCATTGAGGTCTCACAACCTCCTAGGACTTCCACCTTTGTAGTGACTAATCTATTTGTTAACTTATGGATTATCACTAAAATATCACGTGAGCATGTTATTAATTAATCTATTATTTAATGGTCCTCCTATTAGCATGTGATTGTTTGCATAAACTTGATTGCCCCCTTGCATGCTGAAGTCATTGCTTAAGTTCATTGTGAGTTAATAAATTGTTAAGCTCTGTTCAAGCAACATTTAATTTCCATCTCAACAATACTTGTTTATATGGTTCTACATCACATGTAGTTAGGCAATCTATGTTGTATGAATTTGGGTGTTGGATGATAAAGATATCACTAATTGCTAAATTAAGGGTAAAAATTTTAAATGTCAATATGAATGAATAGTGAAATAAGTATGATATCTAAAAAAGATTTATATTATAGTAACTTGGAGAGTAAGAATGTATTAAATAAGGTATAGTAATAAACATACAAGATTAGTTGATAAAATTAGCATCAAATAATAAAAAAAAAGGAAATTGAGTGGCTTAAAAGAAAACATGGATACAAGTTTTTTAAAAGATTTCCTCAAAAGTAGTTTTGCATCTCACGTATCACTCAACACGAAGAATGTAACTAGAAATGAATATATAAGAGTGAGATTGGGAGTAACCATTTATCTAATGTATAATAGTGTAAAATAGACTTAAGAGCTTTTTTGAAGAACAAAACAAATGCAAATTAAACTTTTGGGGAAGTTAGAATACTACATCTAGTTCATTTTCAGAGTATTATGAATTCATCGAAATCAAGTGAATTCAGAATACACCAACTAGTGTAATGATGGAATCCCTCACGACATAGCACTTCCACCTCCAGCCCTCGCAACCTCAGCCCTCGAGCAAACTTTGCACCTCCACCCTTTATGCTAGCCATCGACAGGCCCCAACCTCACCTCCGCCCTAGCAAACCATCGCCCTAGTGCCAATAATGAGTTTTTTGTGTTTTTCAATTCCATCAAAACAAATGGTAAATTTCATTTTAGTTCATTTGGAATACATTCAACCAAACAACAACAACATCAAGCATTTATCCCACTATGTGGTCGGCTACATGAATCCTTTTTCTCAATTGTTCTATTAAAAGTTAAATTCTCAATTAAATCTAATAAAGAAAGGTCATTTCAAATACTTTCTAACCAATTCTTTCTAGGTCTACCTTTACATTTCTTAATATAAGTCAAATCTAATACATCTACTATCCTAATCGGGTCATCGAAAGGACACCATTTTATGTGACCAAACCATATAAGGCAACTCTCTCTAATCTTATCTTCCATATGAGCTACTCAAATCATTTCATGTATATGCTCATTTTGTATCTCATCTCTAAGAGTAAAGCCACTCATCCACCTGAGCACCCTCATCTTTGCAACACTTAACTTAATATTATGTTTCTCTTTTAATGGCTACATTCTGAATAAAGAATTGCATGTCTAACCACCATCTTATAGAATTTTCCCTTATGTTTGAGGGGAAGTTTTCTATCACATAACAAGCCCAATGCATTTCTCCACTTCAACCATCCATCTTGAAATATATTATTATACTAATAATATCTCCATTTATTTCACTATCACTCTGAATAATAACCCAGGATATTTAAAATGTGTACTCTTATTAATAAATTGATAACCCAAAGTCACAATCCCCCACTAGATCTATTATTACTAAAATTATACTCCATATACTCAGTTTTAAATCTACTAAAATGAAAGCCTTTAGACTCTAAGGTTTAGCTTCATAATTCAAGTTTATCTTCAACTCCCTCTCTAGTCTTATCATCAGCAAAAAGCATAACCAGGGTACAACCTCCTGCAAATGTATAGTGAGAACATTTGTGACTGAAGCAAAAAAGATATGGGCTTAAAGCTGATCCTTGATGTAATCCAACTGAAATAGGAAAATACTTGGTCAAGCCACCTTGTGTTTGAACACAAGTAACAACTCCTGCATACATATTCTTAATGACATGAATATAAGCATTATTAACCCATTTCTTTTCTAGAACGCTCCATAGCACTTCTCTTGGAACTTTATCATGTACTTTCTCTAAATCAATAAATTTCATATGCAGATCCTCCTTATTCTCTCTATACTTTTCCATTAAACCTCTTAATAAATGTATAGCTTCCATAGTAGACTTACCGGGCATGAATCCAAATTAATTTTGAAACATTAGTATCATGTTGCAACCTCTGCTCCATAACTCTCTCCCATAGTTTTAAAGTATGACACATTAATGTAATTCCTCTATAATGCGCACAATCTTGTGCATCATCTTTATTCTTAAGAATATGAATCAACACACTCATTCTCCACTCATCTGATACCTTTTTTAATTTTCAAAATAATATTAAAAAATTTAGTAAGCCAAGAAATTCTTTCATCTCCTAAGCATTCTATATTTTAAATCATTAATTATTAATCTCCTTAGCCTTCTCTCCAACCCTTTTAGTTTATTGAATGCATAAAATATTTATCTTCCTATGAATCATAATACTCATTAATTCCATTAATTTGTTTGTAAGAGAACTTATAATCTATGTTCATATCTCAATTTTAATTTCATATACTAACTTCTTTGCCCACATCAATCATAATACTCATTAATTCCATTAATTTGTTTGTAAGAGAACTTATAATCTATGTTCATATCCTAATTTTAATTTCATATACTAACTTCTTTGCCCACATCTATCCCTGATGTGGGAACCCTTGCCTATTTAACATTACACTCGGGTGTCGGTACAGCGACCCTTGCACACTTCTCATTGTATTCAGGCCATATAGCGCGTCTCTTCTAGGGAACGCCCTAACATTAACACAATGTATTAAAAGATTCATGTCATGATTATTCAACAAGTTTTACGAAGGTCGTTGACTACATAACGTAACCCTCCACTTTTCTCATCCAGGACTTGGAACCTGACAACCAAACTTCAAAACTAAATTCAAGATAAAAAGAATTTATTTTACTCAACATTTCTTTTACTTTATATTTGGAATACATCAAACCAAATAACCCCTTAGGTGCTTTTGAAAAACTCAAAAAAAGAGTTAGAATAAGAAACCAATAGGATGGGTAGATAAAATAAATAAATGAATAAATAGAACGAAAAAATACATAGAATAAAGAAGCATGGATAGAAGTTGCATAAAATAGGTTTACACTTTATTAAGCATTCAGCAAAAAGAACGTAAAATAATAAGAAAAAGCCAGCTCATATAATTAGGAATGTCGGCTCAAATACTTAGGAAAGCTGGCTCAAATAATTAGGATAGGGCCAATGATGATGGTGATGACCAATAAAGTGTCAATATAAATGTGAATATACATTATTGAACCCAAAAGAGTTTGAAAAATGTTCAAAAGAGATTGAAAAAGAACTTTTGGGGTCAAGTGACTTTTTCAAGGTGGTGCTTGCAATTTTCTCCTTTTCTTAAAACATCTCCGTGGATTGAACATCATAGTAAGCTCACCCTAGTTATTAAATGTATGGAAATTGTAAATACCCCGCTTACCATATTGAATAAAGAATTTAAAAAGCATTTAGGGTTTTGAATTCAGGTCAATACTCTCTAATGAACAGAAATACCAAGGGGAAAGAAGATAGAGAAAGATATCATAGCAAACAAATGGTGTCAACGGCCAATAAGATCTCATATGCTGGGATGAACACCTATTTAGAAGATGAAGAAGAAAATCATGAGATTCCCAAAATATTATTATATTATTATATGCAGTCAAAGTATATTACATACTGGCAAAACTTTTCATTACTAGGAGAGAGAAGAAAATGCTTGAAATCAAATATGCATGGCAAATTTATAAGAACAAGACATACCTGCTAGGTGCTATATCAACGCAAGTCATTCTATTGTAAAAAATAAACATGATAACTAAAGCTTTCATACAGCTAATGGTGCTAATTAATCGAACATTCTCAAAGCATAAAATAAGCCCCATATTTCTACCCATTCAAGGCTCTCTTCATTAATGATAGGCTTAAGCACATGTACAATATTCTGGCACTTATATTTCCACTAAGGTGCTTAAAACGAGATGCCAAACATCATCAAGTTTTCTAGCAAACAATGCTAAGCTGTGCTTAAAGTACTCTGGTATCTCTCATATCTTCTTCATCCTAAAACCATTCCCAACTCTGATTAAGGAAATCAAGAAAAAGTGCAGGGGCAGTGCTGCTTACAGGAACGTGGCATTTGAAGGGTGAAAAACGAAATGAAAATAAGTAACATCCATTGAACAGAAACTAAGAACTTTTGACTTATATCAAACATTAAAATTATTAGAAATTATTCAAAGATAAAAAAATACACTAAATGTTTCAAAGAGCACCACTAAAATTGCATTTCAAACCTCCATATCAATGTCAGCATGCAAAAATTAGAAGAAAATTATTTTTTACCAGTATCTGGTATCCAGATTCCAATAAAAAAATCAACAAATTGTTTCAATATATATATATATAAGTATATTACCAACATAAAATCAATCAATTACCCTCTCTAAGCAGCAAGTTCTGCACATCAAGAAAAGAAGAGACCTACTTCAAATGGAATGAAAATAAGATCCTGAAGAAGATAAATTCTCGTCAAATAAGAACAGTAGGGAAAATACTACAAAAGTTAGTCGTGATTGCGTGATTGCTTGCACACTAAAACAAAAGACAAAAAGTTAAGAAACAGGACATGTAAAAAAATGTTAAAGAGAAGCATAGAATAAACTATAAAGTAAATTGGTGCAGACCTTACCAGTTAAGTGATTATTGAGCATCCTCAATCTTGACATTATCAAGCTCCAAAGACACTGCATTTGCAAGCTCTTTAATATGTAGATGGCCCCCAGTTTGATTTAATTTTCCCTTGCCAAGACGCATAGCCCCATTGTATCCTCCACTAGGCATCCTCATATAACCACTAGGCCCTGAATTTACATATCCAGGGTAGAAAGTAGCATCACGATAAGGAACTGAAATATGTCTTACAGTCATCAAGGCATGCTCATTCCATGTAAACATTGGACTTGAATATGGGGCACCATAACCAATAGCACTATAGCCTTCATATGTATATCCTCCTTCATAGCCAACTGGTCCGAATCCATAACAAGGAACAAGTTGTGATTCATAACCATAATAATACCCATATTCAGGACCATAAGGTGGATAACCCCAAGGAAGATAATTAACATAAGAATTTAGCCTATCCCAACCTGGGCTAGAATTATTATTCATCTTGTTATGGCTACTGCCAGAAGTGTGCTGATTATCCTTGGGAACTGCTATTTTAACCTCAACAACTTTTTTATTCAGCTCATGAAACCTCTTCTGCATTGTTTTCTGTACTGCCTCTTCTGAATCAAAGGTTATAAAGCCAAAGCCTCTTGGCCGATGTGTTTCACTATCATTCATAATAACCACATCATTCACAGAACCAAATTTCTCAAAGTAATTCCTAAACTCATCTTCAGTAACATTAGATGGCAATCCTCCAACAAAAATCTTTTTGGAGGTAATATTATGATGGTCATTACTAGTTTTGTTAGTACTTTGAACAGAACTTTGGTGACAAGCGTATTGATAATGCCTCCGCTCTTCTGATCTTGATCTAGCTCTCTTGACTTCTAGCTGATAAACAGTAGTCAGAAACAGGAAACAAAAACATCAAGAAAAAAATCAATGAATGGAAGCATAAAGCGAGTAAAAATTAAAGAAACATCTGGATGGTTTTCTTTAATAAAACCCACAAATTTAAGCAGGAAGTGAATTGACAGGAATCTGGATAAGTAAATTTACATAATAACTAAACTAACCTTAAATTTATGAAGCATAAGAATTAAATCACTCGCAAGTCTTGGGATCTTATAAAATGAGAACATATTACTGTTAAATGATAATTTTTTTTTCCTTTCATTGCTCTTTCTAGTTATCAATCAAAAACAAAGAAATTTATTCCTTCTTATTTCCATAAAACTCCCAAACAAGAGAAACGTTTCTTCATTTCTTTTCTCTTCTTTCCTTCCCTCAAGTCCTAATCAAAGTGTTGGACTCAGCTTCATTGGTTTCAGAATAAAACAGTTCCAAATTCTCATTACTCGCAGTCAAAGCTTCTTATGCGGGGCCTAATTTAAAATGCATGGATAAAACTAGAAGTCCCTGAAACCAGCTCAAACAGGCCACAATGAGGACAAAACAAACGAGAATAATTCCTATATTCTTTTAGGAAGATAAGAACCTCATTTAACCGGAATAATCACAGGAATAATAACTTCCAAGTCTTTATTAAAATAGCTCAAATCTGTCCAAAATTGGCCAAATTGTTCACATTAGCGTATACTTCTTAATCAATCTAAACATAGAAGAACATCATGAAAAAAAAATCAAATAACTAAGAACATTTCTAAATTATTCATGAAACGAGAGAGTGAATGCAGTAACTACGCTATTCCTGACGTGAAAAATCAAACTAGTCACATTCTCGTGTGTATATTTTATTTTCTCTCTATCCAAATCCTTTCATTTCTTCCCTCAACAACCATTCAGAAAAGTAAAATTCCTCCTCTAATCCCAAAAACCATGGGAATTCCAATTAAGACAATACTCTTCCCCCCAAAAATTAGTCAAAAATGATTTGCATTCACGTGTTCCTCAGAAGGTCATACCCATAATCAAATGTTGCATGGTTAAAAAGCAAAAAATTACTCTAGTCAAAAAGGGAAAAACCAAAACAACTTGCCTCTCTAAAAACTCCGAGAAATAAGATAGCTAACATACGGTTACCAAGTAAGAAGATACCCTTCAAAAGAATGTTTAAATAACGAGTTGTTTTTCTAAATCCTCCAAGAAACAAGAAAGTAAGTGAAAAGAACTAACCAATTTATCCCTAATAAGATGCTGCCCCTCCTCATTGATGGCCCTTTCCGCAGCTTCCGCGTCAACGAATTCAACAAAACCGTAGCCCTTCACATTTCCCGTCGCTCTCTCTTTCACCACCACGACCTCCTTAACATCCCCATACCTCTCAAAATACTCTTTCAGCGCGTCATCCTCCAACCCTTTAGTGATTCCTCCAACAAAAATCTTGGCAGGCACCGCCATTGAAGAACGTGAAGACGAGGACGGAGAGGGATCCATCCTTTCCCCGAAACCCTAATGCTGCTCACTGAGGAAACGATTAGGCGGGAACGGATACTGCGTGGAAAAAAAGAGTGAGAAACCGCCGAGGGTTTTGCGCTTGTTATCGAACAACTGAACAAGAAAGTCGGAGGGTTTTTCTCCTGCAGAAGTGGAAATGAACGGCGGCAGATCTAACGGTAGAAATAGGCTTGTAAGGTCCGGATATCTCGGCATGTTCGACTCCGTTTGACCGTTTTATTTTTTATTTTTTATATTTTTATATATATATTAAATGTTAAAAAGATATATGTATGTTTAAAAAAATTAAAAATATTCAAAGTCGTCCGTTAAACAGGTTACTTACTAGTCTAGTCAGCATTCAAAAAAGTTTTAAAAAAAATTAATAAAAAAATAAAAGTTAGTTACTGTAGCAAGTTGCCCATTTAACAGACGACTTGCTACATTACAATATTATGCTTATATTTAATTATTTCAAAAAAACTTAATTTTTAATTTCTCACTAATAAGGACAAATAAAATATTAGTTTTTTATTTAATTTTTTTTTTTTTGGACATGAAATGAGTGGAGGATAGTAATTTTTTTTTTTTTTTGTTTGATGCTAACTGGATGCTGATTAGTCTAGTAAGTCGCCCGTTTAACTGGCGACTTTGCCTATTTTTTTAAAAAAAATTAAGCATGCTTAAGCACTTAATATAATTTATAATCATGCTTAGTCTTAAAATTTTCCCTTTTTGTTAAGTAGATCTTTGTCGAGCTTGTATTGATCTAAATGGAGGTTTATGATATTTCTATAAGGATTGTATCTCCATAGAACCTAAAAGGTTAAACATCCTATGTATAGTCATGCAAACCTTCCATTCCAATACCCTTATTTGTTCCAATATTCATCCACTGAGATAATATTTCACATAATTTTTTAACAACACACATGATCACTGCATGAATTAAATTAAGTTCAAGATATATTAAAAACATCAACTTAAATTAAGTTCAAGATTGAACTAGACATAAATCATGACAGAGCCCTCAACTAAAATGAATTGAAAAACTATTTATACTTATATGAAAACGGACTTAGGCGTCATGATGCTTAAAATGGTGGCACCGCAATATTATAGAATGAACTAGCGTCTCAGCATTGCTGGGCTTACTCCACCGCTATGTTGGTCTGATTCGGAACATCTAAAGGATAAATCGGTGCATCACTTGGCTAATTTGACGCGACTTCATCTTTTGTCAATCACTTTGCAATGGCGCTCCAGAAGGTGAGCGATGTGGCACTTGAATGTGCAGTTTGGTGTGAAATGTTATGAAGCTCAATGCTCTGGTGCTCAAATTTCTGAGACTCGAGTACTGTGGTGCTTATTTCTAGCAATGCAGCATTGTGAAGCGCTACGACACTGGTCTTGGCTCCACCGGAGTTCTAATTTAATTGTCATTTTCCCGCTTCGGTGCTTCAATTTTTTGATGTGGCACTAAGGTATTGTGGATTAGGGGTGTCAATTCGGGTCAACGGGTCGGGTTCGAGTCGAACCCGAAACTGATTTGGCATTATTCAGGTCAACCCGAACCCGACCAGTTTTGAAAAACGGGTCAGGTTTTTGGACCCGAACCGACTCGATTAGGGTCCGGGTCAACCCGACCTGACACAAATAACCCGGGGTTGACCCAAAATTACTAATTTTCGGGTAAAAAATCGGATCAATCTTCAATTTTCAGGACAAAAATGGGTCAAAACGGGCCAATCTCGATTTTTCGGGTCAAATATGAGTTTTCGTGTCACTTTCGGGTCAATTTCGGGTTATTGGGACAACCCGAACCCGACCCAATTTTTAAAACGGGTTGATTTTTTCAACCCGAACCCGACCCGTTTCAGGTTTGGGTTGACCCGAACCCGGATTTTTCAAAGTCGGGTTCGGATCGTGTTTCGGGTCGTGTCAAAAGTTGACACCCCTATTGTGGATGTTACAGCATTGGTAGTTGGAGTGTTGTTGTGCTGGTTCAATATTTATGAATGTTTCTCCTTCTTTCTGAGCATTTTTTGCACTTCATCAACTAAAAAATAATATTTTTACTAATATTTAAAATAATAAAACACTATAATATTTACACTTAAAAGTTGGCCACTTTGTGGTGATAAGATGGATTTAGAGGATTCTCAAGACATTATTAAAAGTATAGTGATTTCACATATATATCAAAGGATCATTAGCACTTTTGGCAATATTAGAGGCCATTAGATTGCTCCTTGCTTATAAATGTTTTAGGGATTTAATATTTTTTTAGATGGATGTCATTTGTGCCTTTTTAAATAGGTTTATTGATTAAAATATTTTATTTAAGCAACCCCTTGCTTTTGATAGCCTTGATTATCTTGATCACATATTTAAATTGATGAAAGCTCTATATGGTTTATGATGAGTTCTCATCCATAATGTTAAATAAGTTAGTTGATCCGAAATCCGACCCGAAAAAATCCGGGTTAGGGTCAACCCGAACCCGAAACGGGTTGGGTTCGGTTTAAATAAATCAACCCGTTTTAAAAATCGGGTCAGGTTCGGGTTGACCCAGCAACCAAAAAATGACCCGAAATTGACACGAAAATTCCTATTTGACTCGGAAACCCGAGATTGACCCGTTTTTTACCCGAAAATCAAAGATTGAAATGATTTTACCCCGAAAAACTAACAATTTTAGGTCAACTTCGGGTCATTCGTGTTGGGTCGGGTTGACCCGGACCAGAATCAGGTCGGGTTCGGGTCCAGAAATCTGACCCATTTTTAAAAACGGGTAGGATTTGGGTTGACCTGAATAGTGTCGAATCAGTTTCGTGTTCGACCCGAACCTGACCCCGACCCGTTGACCTGCCCCTAAATGAATTGGGTAAGATGTCATGTAAAAAACTACACGAATGAAAATAAAATTTTATAAGATAGACAACCATTAACATATAATCTAATATTTAATAATATGGGAGAAAAGCATAATTTCAAAAAATACATGGGAGACATAAATGCTCAATATTAACTATTTTAAAGGAGAAAAGTGTAATTAAACCTCTAGTATATATGTGTACATATTTAAGAGCAAATTTAAGAGGGATGTGAAAGTGCACATGTTTCCACTAGTGGTGTCAATTTTTTTGACCCGACCCGAAACCCAACCCGGAAAAATCCGGGTTTGGGTCAACCCGTTTATGAAACGGGTCGGGTTTGGGTTCAATAAACTGCAAAAATCGGGTCGGGTTCGGGTTGACCCGAGAACCCGAAAGTGACCAGGAAATGGTCTCTGCCCGGCTGCCCGCGTCGACTGCCCTGTTGCCAGACGCATCCCTACCCGGTTGCCCGACGCGTCGACTGCCCGGTTCACGTGCCAGCACTGCAGAGACAGCTTCGAGCTTCGTGTGCCGCTTTGGCTTCGCCGCTCACGTGGGGTTCGGCCGTTTGTTCAGTCACGACTCGTTCCGACTGGTCACTGGCCGCGGTACCTCTGGTCCACCGCTGCACACCTGCTGCCGCCGCACCGCCGCGCCTGATGTCGCTGCCGTCTGCCGCTTCTATTTTAAGTAACCGGGTCGGGTCATGTCAACCCGGCAACCCGTGCGGGTCGGGTCCGGGTTTAATTTCCTGACCCGTTTATCTAAACGGGTCGGGTTCGGGTTGACCCGTTTATGCCCGGGTCAAGTCGAGTTC